GAAAAAAATTTAAAAATTTAAAAAAAGTTTTAAATTCAGAATAGCATTAAAAAATATAAATATTGTTGTAATTAGCAATTTTATGATTGTATATGAATAAAGAAATATTTCAAACATCAAAAGAAAAGTCTATCGAATGCGATTTATTTAATGATATGATGCGATTTATTTTATTTTGCTCTGTAGATCTAAGCATTTTCTCAAAGTCGTGCATCACGCATAACGAGCAAAACTTGAGGTTGAAGCACAGAAATACTTGATTAAAGATACACACATTCAAGATCCTTGAATGAGCTAGTGCACCTCTTATCACAAGAAATTACTCTGGACAGTGTACAACAATTTAGGTGGAGGAACCAAGAGCTGGAGAACGGACGTGCCCAGGTACTTCTGGCCGTCGCAAGCTGCTCTAATCGAGTCCCCCCAATGTCCTGAAACCGTCCGTGTTTCTTTCGTCGAGCGATGCGAGAGGGAGAAAGAGATGTAGCCGGGGGTGGGATACGAGCGAGAGAAAAGGCGGCCAATCCAATTCCGCGCTCAAGCCCGACCGTCGTGATGGCGGAGGGTGGCGAAAAAACGCAGCCACGGCCGGGGCGCAAGGCGAGCGGTAGGTCTCCGGGCTTTTTTGCGTTTAATCAAGGATATTCGCGGTCGGCTGGCTCGCTATTTCAGTTCGCCGAGTGTTAACCGAGGCGCGCAACCACCATCGAGTATCATACCGCAGAAAGTGGATGAAGGAATCTTCGTCCTTTGACCTCCCAGGGATGTTCTTGCATTGCAATTGTCCGTAACGGGGTCTTCGTTGTAAATTTTAATGTATCTAATGTACTGTTGTTTTTGCTTAATACATCTTATGTATTATATTCTTCAATATTTCTTGCAGCTAGTTTTCGATATTATGAATATGGTTCGATTACAAAAAAAAAAAAAATAACATATAGAATAAAATTGCGAAAGCAATTTATAGCATTATATTATTATAAAAAAGAATTCAAGATTAATGTTTCTAGTTTTAAAATATTATTTAATAATTAAAATAATTTTTAAATATATTTAAAAGAATGATGTTTGTATTTATGTTTTATAACTAGTATTAATAAAATAAGATATCTAGATCATAAACGGATAAATATTATATCTCGATAATGAATCGGAATCGGATTAATCCTGATCAACTAGATAAAGACTTCATGCTGTGAGGCCAAGGAATCATTTGATTCGTAGAATCTAATAAAATCGATTAGAGACGCGACACCCCTTTCACTATCGTCATGGTAGTCTAGACATGATGTAGCAAGAGACGACAGGCTCTAATTTCGTCCTTAAGCATTAAGTATCTCCGCTGTCACTCCTATAAATTACTTCATCTCGATGACGTGTTGATTGTCGAAAACACCCTTTGAATTTCGAAAGGGTCATTCGATGAGGATATTTCATTATTTTCTGACATTCTTTTTAGAAAATAGGCTGCCATAATCACAATAACGATGCATTCAATGATTAGCCACCGATATTTGAATATGTATAT